TTACAAAACTCTTACAGTTTGGATCAGACTATGCTTTATATTTTAGTAAAACAACAAATAATATGTTTTGGAAAGAAGTTCTTTCTGATTATAAAGAATTTATTAATTTATTTGAACCTGAAAATATTTTTCAGGTTACGAATGAACCTCTGTGGTTTAACAGTAGTATCAGAGTACAAAATTAGTCTGTTTTTTTTTTGTTTTTTTTACAAACAATTATATGCAAAATGTTTTCATATTGTGTCTGATCTATTGGATACTGAAGGCAAATTTTTATCTTTTAATTGTATATCCATTAATTATGATGTTTTGATGCCATTTACTAATTATGAGGGACTTCGACTTTCCATTTTGAAAAAAATTGGCCTGAAGTTAAACAAAATAGAACATCAGTTATTGGAATATCTATTCCTACACATATTCAGTTCCTTTGTCGTGATGGTTCTGGCTGTAAATCGTTATACAACTTCTTTCTATCGAAGCGTTAAGATCTTTTTACAAATTTAAAATACATACATGTAACTAAAGATTCAAACCTCAAATGGTTCAATTATAAGATCATACATAGAAGTCTTGTAAATTATTGTTTTTATCTGAAATTAAAGATAACCCACTGTGCTCTGTCTGTAATCTTGAGCAGGAAACTTTGAAGCATCTTTTTTAATACTGTCATCCTGTTAAGGGAATATGGGATTGTTTCGAAGAATGGATTTTACAAAAAACTGGAAAAATATTAACCTAGACCCGATTTCTGTTCTATTAGGTATCTCTGGTAAAGAAAATACAGCTTTAAATGTCATTATCTTGCTTGTAAAACATTATGTTTACCAAAAATCTAGAAATTGTAAACCTTTGATATTTAATGAAGTTAAAAATATAATATGTAAATACTATACTTTTGAAAAATATTTGTTTGCAATAAATATGGAGGACATTCAGTTCAAAAAGAGATGGTTATTTGGTACCATTTATTTGAAAAAATAATCAGCTATATATTACAATCATAAAGAAACATCGCAGTTTTTACTTTGTTATTTTTCTTATATACATATTATATATGTAGGTGATACTCTAATTGAATAAGCGAGAAGAAAGAATCAGAGAGTGAATGTTTAATAAAAATCCGCAATGTTTATATGTATAAATATACTGTGATATGAATGTTGAAAAGCGGAAATAAAAAAAAAATATCGAATTTGAGATTTTCATGCTTTTTAATGGTCTATGAAAAATTACGACGAAAATTGAAAACGAAACTAAAATATCTTTATTGATAACAAAGATATTTCATTTCGAAATTGATATGTTTTCAAAATAAACCCTTAGCACATCGGTAGTTTTTCGCAATTTAATTGTGACGTCATAAAATAGAACATTTTCTAAATTGTGAAACTCTGGCTTTCAGAGGGAAGTTTTTACACGTATCATACATTCCAAATATATTAACCTTTCGGGGTTGTATGAAAAACCGCTGTCTGACTTGCAGTAAAGAATTTGGATGATTTCATTCTGCGAAAACTGTAATGTATACCATACAATCTCGCGAGAGTTCACATCAAAACTGCAGATATTTCCATGGGATATCATTTCATTTTGAAAATCTCTTACATTCTGCTCGTACATTCTTTGTACAATTCACTTTCTTGTTTGGCTTGGTGAACATGACTAATTGTTAGAGGCTGTATTAGTTTTAATTTATTGTCTTCTCGCTATATCATGGCGGAGGTTAGGGCAGGTCTTACGCAAGTCTTTACTGTGTAAGGGAACACATATATTCCAAGATTTTTAAAATGCGGTAAGCTTGACGTGCGGACTACTGGGTCAGACTAGCTTCTTTTTTTTTTTGCAGGAACCGCGACTTTACTCTCATTTGCACAGTAGGAGCAAATATGTATTTCATCGCGTATTCGCAGAGGCAATCTGGTTAGAGTATTTTTTGCTGAATTAATGACACGAAATAGATAACCCTGCTTTCACTTCTTAAAGGTCAATCCATGAAGTCTGAGGGTGATATTGTTATTTTCCAAATTTACCAAAATATATGTCGCTTTCACTTTCGATAAAGCATGTAGCCTGAAAGTAAGCTCATTTACACATTCTTTTTCATCAGGATTTTTTTTTCTAAAACAGTTTTTACATTCACATTCATCTTCAAATTGCGAGTTCATGTATACCCTGTCTTGATCGTAATTGGACAGATATATATAGCTCGGCAATAAATTACCCACTGTCACAATTAACGTCCAAACATGGTTCCATATATTTTACCATACAATTTTTCGCTATGTAAATAACTAATATAAATGTCATAACTGTGTTCCACAACATTTTATTCGTTCAGTAGAATTTACTTGGCGGGTTTAAATCCCGTGCGATTTTGTAGTCAGTTTGGGTGTAGCAATTGAGTAGAGCAGACGCACTTGACTTGCTCGAGTATTGACAATAGTATTCTTCATAAAGTTTTGACCAGATTTCACATCTCTTCTGAGGTACGGTAAGTTTGTTTTATAAATTTAAAGCTTTTATCTTATACAGTTTCCTGAAATGGCCAAGGACCTTAGTTCTTAATTTTGATGTAAATTATGTGATTGAGTAATTTGTGCATTGCTATCATTTCAAGTATTATTCTAATAGTATACAAGTATATTAAAGTATGTAGTAGCTCCAATGTATGGTGTAAAGTACGTGTGTATAGTACGCAAATATTTCGTATATTTTGCGGAGTATGCAATAAAATGCTACAGTATATGCAGTAAAATGCAGTATGCAGTAAAATGCTAGAGTATATGCAGTAAAATGTAGTATGCAGTAAAATGTAAAGTATACAGTGAATGTTATGATATGCACGAGCACGAATCCAGTTAGTATATTTTAGATACAAATGTTATAATTTATGTAATTTAAAATAATTTTGTAGATCCCATATGGTCCAGGAAGCCATTCAGCCCAAACAACGAACCATCTTGATATTTTTAAATTTTGTACAAAGCCAATAAATGTAATATAGTCAAAGAACAGTCCTTGTATTCCTTTTATGAGGCGACCATTCGGCCTGCCTGCGACACCCACTCTGTACCTTTTATTATCATCTTCTACCCCCCCCCCCCCTTCCCCGAAAAAAATCATTCTCCTTTGCATCAGAGTTCTAGTATCTATAATGTAGACTAAATAAATTAATTTAATATCGTGGTAAACAGTATCTGGATGATTGATTGATTATTGCTTAATGCCGAGTCGGCAATATTTTAGCCATATTTCAGCGGGAAATTAAGTTTATATGACCGGTTTTTAAGAATATTTGGTTTTTCTGGCAGCCCCCAGTGAGCCTATTCTTTTTCGAAATCCAGAGAGACGACCCATTGCGTGCCAGGAGATTATAATCCTTGACATGGGCACCAGTTAACGTCGCATCCGACTGACTTTAATTTTAAAAATATATAAACAGTTAAAATATAGATTTCTCTCTGTGTTCATTCACAAAATTACTTGCATGATGTACTTCTAAATTTTACTGTAAAAATCAATTTAATGAAATATATGAAGATAAATGTGAAATGTTTGTGTTTTGAGACCCCCCCTTTAACATATATATGTATAGATCATATTGTGTTCATAATCTTATTTATTTTATATTTCAGCATAATACGAACATGCATTCTCTTTCAGCAATTATATTTTAGCTGTTAAAGTTTACCAAGTGTTCTATAAAACGATGTCTGGTAATTCCTATTATTTCATGTTTGGTAAATCCTACACTTTCATGTTTGGTGCATGACCAACTTTCCCACGGTGTGAAATAAGGACTGTAAACTCATGGATACTTAAAAATATAGACTCTTATAATTATATCAGCAATTGTTATGCATGTTTATTACATTTAACTTACAATTCATTGTATAAATTAATCGTAATTTACCGTTTTAATGTCCGTCTGCCAATCACGTTGTTTTCCTTTTTGGTCATGGCTTACGGAAGGTTCTAATTTATAAGGGGGGTTAAGGTTATTGTGTTCCGTCCTCGAACGTCATTATTTTATTACTGTTAAATTATACGCAAAATGTATTGTACATCTAAAGTAACCTACCTTCATTGTTTATTATTATTTATTTGTTATACGGTTGGGCGTCACATATTTCGTATTTTTCATGGTTTGTTCCACTTCGGCGATATTGTTAGAATCGTCTGCCATTTTGGTCTATACTTTCCTTTTTGGTTAGGTTAAGCGCACTGCGCATGTCCGGTAGTTTACCCTATATAAACGTCGCCACGGACACTCAACTTTCAGTTCGACTTTGCAGAACGCCCGCTATCAATCTTTAATAGAACTAGTACGTAACCACTGATATTTTTGGTAAATTTACAGCAAATTAGTAACGTTAACAGAGTTTTACTATAACTTTCATTGACCAAATTGAATTATTAAGGATTTCAACAGTTACTATTATACCATATATAATAATGTGACGTCCGACCTGACCAACTATACTACCTCGCCATTGTTTGATTATCGTGTTATCCTGCCATCTATATCATATTTATTCCGTTATTAAATTATTGTTGAAACTTAAAATATCTTCTGTTGTGGTCTTATTTGCCTCTACAATATAGTATTATTGACCAACACAAGAGATTTACAAGGATTTACTATCATTACAAGGATTTACCAAATTACCAGGATATACCATATATTGGTCATACTGAAATATATCTCCTTCATTGGAGATGTGATCAATTTAGAAGCCTCATACCCCGGGCACGTTACAGAATTTTGGTAGCAGCGGTGGGATGAAAATCCTATGATCATTTCAGTACCATAGAATCCTTTATTCCTTTGATTTGGGCATATATCTTACAACATGGAAATAACAGAAGATAGTGACCAAATATTATTACTTAATGGTAAATCCTGTGTTGGTCAGTTGGAGGCAGGTGAGAACACAACAGAATTAGCAGACGTCCTGCGGACTCCACTCCCAGATGACCCAAATAATGAAACAAGTCTTATTACCTTAGATGCCACTCCCAGTGGGGAAGTACAATTTAATGTAAAATCTAATTTGTTTGAGAAAAGTGAGCAATCTGAATCTACACAGTGTTCCAGAACAATGTCTGGAGTCAGTACAAATTATAGTGATTCTTTGTCGGAATGCCTGAAGAGCATTCAAAGTCAGATCAGTGAGCTGAGTACTACGTTGGTGGAAAGGGTGAACATTTTGGAAACCATAGTTAGTACTAAAGGGCCACGGAGTTGCGATTCCAGACGGAATTCACTTGTATCGTTTTCTGACGTCCAGACGTCACCGTCAGTTAACAATAGGATACACTCGGGTGGTCTGGGTACTTCAAATAGATGTGCGCGTTCATACGAGCTTGGTTCCACTGATAATTTAGTTGAGGCTGATTCCTTTGGTCCTGACACATGTCAGATGAAATCATGTTTTTTCTCAGAGGGCTAAGTTCAATACTGTCATAAATGGTCAGGTATGTTCGCAAGAGAATAATTATCCTGGGAGACCATCAGGTGAGACGGCAGGTAAGTCCGCTCAAGATTCCTCGATGGATAAGCCGCCTATTGGCGCATGTTCACATTCGACCATGGACGCATGGTCAAGGTCCGCCCAACCTGCAGCCCAGGGAATGGCTCTGTCTCCATCTCACAGCCCTCAGGGTCAAGAGCGTACTGCTGAGTGTGCGGGTGAGATGATTTTTAAGGATCTGAAGAAACCTGCAACATATGATGGCAAGAGCAGTTGGCAAGATTATTACATTCAGTTTGAAATGGTATCAGAACTTAATGACTGGAACAACACAGTTAAAGCTATTCAGCTTGCAACAAGTTTACGGGGGGTGGCTCAACAAGTGCTCAGCGACATAGCTCCTGAGCACAGAAAAGATTAGAAATATCTAGTCCAAACTCTATCTCAGAGGTTCGAACCCAAAAATCAGGCTGAGTTATACAGAGCTCAAATAAAGAATAGAAAAAGAGATGAATCTCTTACTGACCTTTCTCATGAAATTAAAAAGTTGGTTAGATATGCATATCCAGATGCATCATCTGAAGTACGAGAACAATTGGCTCGTGACTGTTTTATTGATTCACTGAATGACCATGAAATTGAATGGGCAGTCCACCACGGTAAACCAAAGTTTGTTGAAGATGCTGTCCAACTTGCTCTTGAATTTGAAGCCTTCCAAAATGGTAGGAAGCACAGAGTTTTTCAAAAACATGGAGGGGTCAGAATGCAAGTGGTGCATGCTGCTACCCCATTTTCTAGTGATGATGAGTTGCGTCATTTTTCTCAAAAGGCTGAAAATATACAAAATGATAAATCTAAAATCAAGTTTAACAATCAGAACAGAAACAATGGTGAATGTCATTATTGTGGCATACAGGGTCATTTCATCAAAGACTGTAGAAAGCGACTATACGATATGAAAACCAGTCAAAAAGATTACAGGTCATCTGGTTTTAACAAAAATCAGGGAAACAGGTGTTAGCTGGAGCCAAGGGCCAAGCTTCAGCAGAGAATTTGTTACATAGGCCCTACAATAACATGTCTACTTGTATGAAAAATTGTCAAGAACCAAAACAAAATGGATTGATTGTCAAAGCAAATATTTATGGGACAGAAATGAATTGTCTCATAGATACAGGATCTACTTTCACTGTTATACATCCTGAAAAGTTTGATCTGTTGTCAGAAAAACAAAAAGTAATTCAAGATACCTTACAGCTAAAAATGGCTGATGGAGGTGTTGTTCAATCATTTGGTTATGTTTATTTACCATTTGAGATAAATGGGAAGATATTTGAACAGCAAACTGTTATTGCTGCTGTTGAAGCACCCATAGTACTGGGTTATGACTTTTTATCAGCTTACAATTGTCAGATAGATATTTCAGGGTCATCTCTTGTCATTCAAGGCCAGAAGGTCCAAGGCTTCCTAGAAAATGTTTCGAATTGTGTTAAATGAAAATATTGTGATACCTCCACGCTGTGAGATGATTGTTAATGCCTTGATTACAAAAGAGCCAATTCTGCAGAGGGCATTGTTGAACCTTTCCAGTCAAAACTTTCAGAAAATGGTGTCCTGGTTGCCAAGTCAGTAGTTAATCTTGGCACAGGACAAATACCTGTGAGAATAGCCAACTTAAATGATGACCCCAAAACACTGTACAAACATACTTGTGCAGCAATTCTTGAACCCGTTACTAAAGTCTATCCTTTAAGCGAAAGCTTAAAAGAAGGAGAAACCAAGAGAATTGGTCAAATACACCAAACTTGTCAAAATAATAGGGAGCTCCCTAAACACTTACAAATATTGTGGAATAGTATTCCAGAAAGTGTAACCAAACCTCAAGATGCCTAGAGCTGTCAAAGACTTACTTATTAAATACTCTCATGTGTTTGCTAAATCCAAAAGTGATTTAGGACGTACAAATGCTGTACAACACCATATTGATACTGGTGATGCAATACCAGTCAGACAACCCCCCAGACGTTTACCTCTTGCTAGGAAGGAAATGGTTGAAAATGAAATTGATAACATGCTTCAAAATGGCATAATTGAACCTTCCAGGAGTCCATGGGCCCCAGGGTTAGTTGTAGTTGAGAAGAAAGATGGCACTCCGAGACTATGTGTCGATTATCGTCGTCTTAATGAAAAAGCTCTTAAGCGTGACTGTTATCCAATTCCTAGAATAGATGATTCAATAGACACATTAAAAGGTTCTAAATGGTTTTCCACTTTGAACTTAGCCAGTGGATATTGGCAAGTGGAAGTTAATCAAAAAGATAAGGAGAAAACTGCTTTCAGTACACATATGGGCTTGTTTCAATTTAATGTCATGCCCTTTGGGTTGAGCAAAGCCCCTGCTACTTTTGAAAGATTAATGGAGTCCGTTCTGTCAGGTTTGCACTGGCAAACATGCCTTGTGTATCTTGACGACATAATTGTATTTTCAGAGACCTTTGAGTCCCACTTAGAAAGATTGTCAGAAGTTTTAGAAAGAATAGGAATACCAGGTCTAAAAATATCACCCAAAAAGTGTCAATTATTTCAACAGAAAGTTCATTATTTAGGACACATAGTCTCAAGCGAGGGAGTCTCTACTGACCCTAGTAAAGTAGAAGCTGTACAAAATTGGCCACAACTTAGAAATGTACATGATGTAAGGAGTTTTCTGGGCACCTGTTCTTATTACAGGAGGTTCATTAAAGGCTTTGCACACATTGCCAAACCCCTTCACAAACTTACTGAGAAAAAGAATAAATTTATTTGGTCACCTGACTGTGAGCATGCCTTTCAAACATTAAAAACTGCCCTTATTACCTCCCCTTTTTTAGGGTACCCATCTCTATGGAACGCCAAAGCTGCCTGAAGGTCATTTTCATTTTATATGAGGTGGTATAACCTTTATGTGAAGTGGTTAAGTCATTATATATAGTGGTAAAATCATTATATTCAATGAAAACTTTATAATATGCAGTGGTTTTATCTTTATATACAGTGATAAAATCATTATATACAGTGATAAAATCATTATATTCATTGATGACTTTATTATATGCAGTGGTTTTATCATTATATTCAGTGGCAATGTCATTATATGTAGTGGTTAAATAACGTAATGAAGTGATAGTACCGTTACATTATGCTGTAAAATCATTATATGCAGTGGTTTTTCCATTATATACATTACTGATATCTTTCTGTGATGTGATAAATTCAATATATACAGTACAAACATAATTTGTGTGATAAAGCAATCATTACATTGTATGAAACCCGCTGCATGTGGAGTGCCAAGTTAATTTCATTCAGTGCGACACCTTTACATGAAGTGAAAAATCTATTATGTGCAGTACCAAGATCATTATATTATATAGTAAAATTATTATATATATTCCTAAAATCATACTTTGCAGTGGTAACATCTTTATATGAGGTGGTTAATTAATTATATGATGTTGTTAATTTGTTATATGATGTGCTCAAATCTTTATATACATTAGACGTTTCATGTTATGCAGTGGTAACTTCTTTATCATCATCTAAACTGGTCCTCTTGCAAAAACATTTTTAAAAAATGCGCGGAGTTCCAGTTTAAAGAGTGTTTGAAAATAGGAAATCCGGGCCGTGGCAAATTAAAAGCCGGGACTATTCGAGATTTTTCAAATTTCTGATTTAAAATTTTCAGACTCTTTTTTTTTAGGCTAATGTGTTTTCGCTGTAAAAACTGTATTTAAATACTTGGTATTTTAGATTTTCTTTACGAATTTTGGTTTCAAGTAAAATTGGTAGGCAGTTTCAATTTTCTGATTTAATATTTTATCCATTGTGCTATAAGTACTTAGTATTTTAGATTTTTTTTTTGACGATTGTTGATTTCCATGTTGGTAAAATGGGTAGACTGGGTTGGCGATATTTTATGTGTGTGTGTGTGTGTTTTTTTTTTTTTTTTTTTTTTTTGACATATTTGATAAAAATCTAATAAACTTAAAAATTATTCCGATGTTAAACACTGTATTTTAACTAAAAAAAAACTTTTTCTTTTTGATAGTTATTTCTTTATTTGAAAATGCTATTTTTATGCAAAATACACATTTTCATTAAAAATGGGATTATTAAACCAGATCCGATCATCCGGGAAGAACCTGGTGCAAAACACCATAAATCATTTCTAATTTCATAATATGCGAATGTGCACTGGTACATGTATCTATTTGTTAGTAGATGGAAAGAAACTGGATTACGTTAAATATGTAATTTGTTTAATACTTTTTTCGGGGTGGGGGTGGGGGGTGGGGTGTTAAATTACTAATATCAACTATTTATAAGTCTGTTTCTAAGACTTCAGAAAACCTTAAATCACATTGAAAAATTGCTGCATGAAAACATTTCATTTTCAAGTTTCATATTTGCCGTCGCCAACGTGGCACGGTGATTAGAGTGTCTGCTCTAAGAGACGCGGAATAAGGAGTCAATCCTTACGTCACGGGTTCGAATCCGACAGTGGGAAGTTGAGACCGGTCCTTCGTAAGAGACCGCATAAAGCCATAAACCGAGGTCCCGTTCCACAGTAGGTGTTGGCACGAAAAAAATCCCTCACTGCTCAATGGGCGTAAGTGTCGAGTATAGGACAAAATTTGCAGCTCTCCACTGGCAAATTGTGGCGTCTCCATATGAGTGAAAATTTCTCGAGAGGGACGTTAAACAGCAAACAAACAACCAAATTAAAATCATTTTAGTCTTTTTGAATAAAATGATAAAATTAAGAGTTATCCTTCAAGGCTGAGGATCGGATATCCTTAAACCAAGCAACTTACGCGTGATTAAAGTTTGACACAAGGCTTTGCATTAATAGTCCTATAATTACATGTATATGTGATAATTCTTTAATTAATTTATATTTTATCAAATGGCATGTAGATAATGAATAAGTATTTCGGATTTTTTATGTTTGACTTCCGGGAGATAAAATCCGATTTTAATGAACCATTGGCGTCGGAAGGAAATTGATAGTGGGGTGGCTAATTGAAATAGAAAAAAAAGATCAAACCTGAAAAAAAACTTGACAAGCAAAAAAAAAAAAAAGGAAAATTGTTCTTTCTCCAAACCCGGTGGGGGGGGGGGGGGGGGGTTGGTCGAACATCTTTCAGTATCAAATTCTTTTAAACACTACCAATTACCCTTCTTTCACTACAATGAATCGTGCCTGTAGAAAGTGGGGAGGGGGGGGGGGGAGGCTAGACCTACGCCCGAATTTTCAATGCCTATATTATGTCTACCTTTGTAAAAAAAAAAAAAAAAAGAGGGGGGGCAATAGCCCCCCCCCCCCCCCCGGTTCCGACGCCTATATGAACCAGTTTTTCTTAAACGTGTCATTTCACTCAAAAAATGCCTTTCAATGTCTACTTGATTGCCTACCCGATTTACCAACCCCACGGGCGGATTCAGAGAGGGCCTATGGGGCCCGCCGCCCCCCCCCCCCCCCTTGTGTTCAAAATATACATAAGATTTAATAAATCAATTGTTTTTTGGTTTGGCTGTGGGCTACCTACCGCGACCAAAAACTTGTCGGGCCCCCCTTTTCAAGATTCCTGGATCCACCACTGAACTTGGAAATCAACAATCGCCAAGAAAATCTAAATTACTAAGTATTTTAAAATTAAATGCAATTTTTACAGCGAATACACATTAACCTATAAAAATGAGTCTTAAAATTTCAGCACAGTTGATCAAATCAGGAAGATGTATAATAGAATCAGAAATTAGAAAAATCTCGAATAGTCCCGGCTTTTAATTTGCCACGGCCCGGGTTTCCCATTTTCAAACACTCTTTAAACTGGAACTCCGCGCATTTTTTTTTAAATAAAAGGACCAGTTTAGATGATGATAAAGAAGTTACCACTGCATAACATGAAACGTCCAATGCATATAAAGATTTGAGCACATCATATAACAAATTAACAACATCATATAATTAATTAACCACCTCATATAAAGATGTTACTACTGCAAAGCATGATTTAAGGAATATATATAATAATTTTACTATATAATATAATGATGTTAGTACTGTACATAATAGATTTTTCACTTCATGTAAAGGTGTCGCACTGAATGAAATTAACTTGGCACTCCACATGCAGCGGGTTTCTTACAATGTAATGATTGCTTTATCACACAAATTATGTTTGTACTGTATATATTGAATTCATCACATCACAGAAAGATATCAGTAATGTATAAAATGGAAAAACCACTGCATATAATGATTTTACAGCATAATGTATCGATATTATCACTTCATTACATTATTTAACCACTACATATAATGACATTGCCACTGTATATAATGATAAAACCACTGCATATAATAAAGTTTTCAATGAATATAATGATTTTATCACTGTATATAATGATAAAACCACTGCATATAATAAAGTTTTCATTGAATATAATGATTTTACCACTATATATAATGACTTCACCACTTCACATAAAGGTTATACTACCTCATATAATATGAAAATGACCTTCAGGCAGCTATGGCGTTCCATATAACGGTACTATCACTTCATTACGTTATTTAACCACTACATATAATGACATTGCCACTGAATATAATGATAAAACCACTGCATATAAGAAACTCATCAATGAATATAATGATTTTATCACTGTATACAATGATTTTATCACTGTATATAAAGATAAAACCACTGCATATTATAAAGTTTTCATTGAATATAATGATTTTACCACTATATATAATGACTTAACCACTTCACATAAAGGTTATACCACCTCATATAAAATGAAAATGACCTTCAGGCAGCTATGGCGTTCCATACATCTCTGGATGAAAATTTTATTTTAGATACAGATGCCAGTGCATACGGCATTGGAGCAGTTTTGTCACAAACAGATGGCAAGTCAGAGCGGGTCATCGCATACTTTAGCAAGTGAAAGAAATTACTGTGTTACCAGAAGAGAATTACTTGCAATCGTCGAGTCAGTCAAACATTTTCACCATTATCTATATGGTAAAAAGTTCCTTATTCGCACTGACCATGGTGCACTGAGATGGGTCCTTAAATTAAAAAATCCTGAAGGTCAAGTGGCCAGATGGCTACAAATTCTGTCAACCTATGATTTCGACATTCAACACAGAATAGGTTCCCAGCATGGAAATGCTGATGGGCTGTCAAGGCGTCCGTGCACCAAGTGCACCCATTGTGACAAACAGGAAATAAACTATGGTCATGAAGAAAAACTTCAAAGCCCCACAGTCAGGATGATCAGATCTACACCTACAGTTGCACAACTAGTAGACAAAATGAATTCTCAAGAATCTGAGATTCCTACCCTAGAAAAACAAGACTTACTTTGTTATAATACTTGGTTTGAAAGTACACCAAGAGAAGAAATAATTGAGTCTCAGAAATCAGACCCAGTCATAGGTAAAAAATATGCTTGGAAGGAGAGTAATATTCCAAGACCAGGGTGGGAGGATATTTCTCAAGAAAATTCACAAATTAAGACTTACTGGTCTCAGTGGGACAGAATTATCATTCAAGACCATGTTGTATGCAGAAAATGGTTTCATGATAAAACCAAGAATGTCACGTTACAAATGATTTTACCTGAAAAGTACATACCTCAGGTCCTAACAATGTTGCATAGTGACCCTACAAGTGGACACTTAGGAGTGAACCGAACTTTAGCCAAAGTCAGACAGAGGTTTTAATGGGTTGGAAATAAACAATCAGTGGCAAAATTTTGCCAAGAATGTCAACCCTGTCAATCCAGTCATCCGACAACCTGCACTCCTAAAGCTCCAATGAAACAATATATTGTTGGTGCTCCTTTGGAAAGAGTTGCTCTAGACATTGTAGGTCCCTTGAACAGAACTCCTAGAGGAAAGTCATATATATTAGTCATTGCTGATTATTTCACTAGATGGACTAAGGCTTTTGCCCTTCCAAATATCGAGGCAAAAACAGTTGCAAGAGTATTTCTCACTGAGTTTATTTGTAGATTTGGTATTCCCCGTCAAGTACATACTGACCAAGGTACACAATTTGAAGGGAAATTGTTTCAGGAGATGTGTAAAATACTCAGCATTGATAAAACAAGAACAACTCCCTTTCATCCCCAGAGCGACGGGCTTGTTGAACGATTTAACAGGACACTCAAAGCTATGCTTACAAAATATGTGTCAATTACTCAGAAAGACTGGGATATATACTTACCTTTTGTACTATTAGCATACAGATCTTCAGTTCATGAGAGCATAGGAACCAGTCCAAGTTTAATGATGTTGGGCAGGGAACCAGAATTGCCTGTGGATCTTTTATTTGGTAGTCCTCCTACAACAGATTCCAAATCTCATTATTCCCCATGCTCATATGTACAACATTTACAAAAATCCCTGAGCGAGATGCATAAGCTAGCTCAGAATGAAATGCTTAAAGCTAGTGACAGACAGAAACGTCATTATAATCATAATGCAAAACAAGTGTCCTTCAGAACAGGAGATCTTGTTTGGCTTTGTAATAAAAAGCAGAAGAGTGTTACTAAAACATGGGAGGGACCTTATACCATCATTCAAAAACTTGGAGATCTAGTGTATAAGATACAAAACAATAACAATGATGTTAAAATTGTACATCATAACTTTCTCAAAAAGTATTATGGAAAACTGTAGAAAATTGGAATTAATCAGACAACAGCTGACTTGACTGATTGGACATCACATGTTATCATATTCAGCTGTTTTTACCTAATTATAATTTTTGTAACAAGAGACAATTACTTCTACCTTTTAACAGTGACTTCAAGATACCACTCCAACAGATCTTTCATATGTAGGATTGATGGCTGTTTGCGAAAGTTCGATACCCGGCAGCAGTTAGACAGACATAAGAAGGACAAACATGGCCCAACAGAGTGTTGTCCTCACTGTAGATATGTTGTACCATGTAGTCGACCCTACCTCATGCGTGATCATCTTGAGAGGGTTCACAGGATTACCAACCCAAAGACCTCTTCTTGTCCTCACAGATCCCGTTCTACTGCTGTAGAGAGAGACCCCTTTACTCCCCTTCGATCTCCCAGTGTAGATGTTTTCTTGGAGCTGGTGGACATTACAACCACAGAGCAGGATCTACTGGGATATGCGATCCAGGAATCACAGATTTTTGACCCGCCCAGAAAGGTTTTGAGGAAGGACCCCCAGTCCAAGTCTCCCCCCAGAGTTCAGGTTACAGTTTCCACCAATGTTGAGTCCTCACATGATGTTCCTGCTGCACCTGTTTCACCATCTCTTGCGTCTGTCGAACCTGCCTGTCCTGTGCAAGTCCCCCCTACCACTGTGCCTGCTCCTGCATATTTTCCGTCCAATTCCTCGGTGACTGTATCATCATCTCACCCTGAGCCTGCTGTTCCTATTGAGTTGCCAACATCATTGGAACCTGCCGCTTCAGCCTGTGTACCTGCTCAGGTAACTCCGAATACTATCTACGACGTCTGGACAGTGTTTTCGCCCAGGACCGACAGTGACGTTTACTCTTTTCTGGCTGCGGATCCCCGTCTCTTCTTTGCTGGCGCTCCTTCCTCCATGTTTTCCTCTGGAGTTGGCCAGATCCTTAAGGACGCCAGGGAGACGGCCGGGAAGTGTGCCCACAGGACCCTGGACCATGTTCCTCTGGGATTCGGATCCATCCAAAGGACAGAAAGAGTGACGCTCCCTGACGGTACTACTTACTGGCTATCGGCCACCTGGACGAAAGACCCTTTGTATCGTATTACCAAGGAAGTAGGAGTCCAAGCCAATACAGTTTCATCACCGTCTACATCTCACACCTGCAAAGATAAAGGAATTCAGTGTACTGCCAAACAGACTTACACATTCGACGATTAGATTAGTAAGTTAAGAAGGACTGAAATATTTTGGGGTATTCATTGTTAGGATGTATAGCTACTTTTAGTATGCTTTGGGAGGGGGGTTGGATTTTTGAGAGCATTTAATTTATCTGAGAATATAATGACCATTTTTGTAATGGATCATCTTTAAGTTTCGCTATTTTTATGTCTGTATATATGTATCTAAATATACTAATATGTGTGATAATTCATACATTACCTGGAACTGTTTCTTCATCTGAGTGGATTATCATTGTTAAATCGCCTTCATTTTGTGTCTTCATGTGAAAGAAGTATATAATATGTTATACTGTTATATGCAATGATGATGTTTCATTTTCATTTCAAATTGTTAATAATTATATTATTGCATAGGTGCATCAGGATATAACAGTATTTTTGTTCGAGGACGAACAATTTTTTTTACGGAGGGGATAATGTGAAATGTTTGTGTTTTGAGACCCCCCCCCCTTTAACATCTATATGTATAGATCATATTGTGTTCATAATTTTATTTATTTTATATTTCAGCATAATACGAACATGCATTCTCTTTCAGCAATTATATTTTAACTGTTAAAGTTTACCAAGTGTTCTATAAAACGATGTCTGATAATTCCTATTATTTCATGTTTGGTAAATCCTACACTTTCATGTTTGGTGCATGACCAACTTTCCCACGGTGGGAAATAAGGACTGCAAACTCATGGATACTTAAAAATATAGACTCTTATAATTATATCAGCAATTGTTATGCATGTTTATTACATTTAACTTACAATTCATTGTATAAATTAATCGTAATTTACCGTTTTAATGTCCGTCTGCCGACCACGTTGTTTTCCTTTTTGGTCATGGCTTACGGAAGGTTCTAATTTATAAGGGGGGTTAAGGTTATTGTGTTCCGTCCTCGAAGTCATTAATTTATTACTGTTAAATTATACGCAAAACGTATTGTACATCTTAAAGTAACTTACCTTCATTGTTTATTATTATGTTATACGGTTGGGCGTCACATATTTCGTATTTTTATGGTTTGTTCCACTTCGGCGATATTGTTAGAATCGTCTGCCATTTTGGTCTATACTTTCCTTTTTGGTTAGGTTAAGCGCACTGCGCATGTCCGGTAGTTTACCCTATATAAACGTCGCCACGGACGCTCAACTTTCAGTTCGACTTTGCAGAACGCCCCCTATCAATCTTTAATAGAACTAGTACGTAACCACTGATATTTTTGGTATATTTACAGCAAATTAGTAACGTGAACAGAGTTTTACTATAACTTTCATTGACCAAATTGAATTATTAAGGATTTCAACAGTTACTATTATACCATATATAATAATGTGACGTCCGACCTGACCAACTATACTACCTCGCCATTGTTTGATTATCGTGTTATCCTGCCATCTATATCATATTTATTCCGTTAAATTATTGTTGAAACTTAAAATATCTTCTGTTGTGGTCTTATTTGCCTCTACAATGTAGTATTATTGACCAACACAAGAGATTTACAAGGATTTACTATCATTACATGGATTTACCAAATTACCAGGATATACCATATATTGGTCATACTGAAATATATCTCCTTCATTGGAGATGTGATCAATTTAGAAGCCTCATACCCCGGGCACGTTACAATAACGAACAGTATTCAAGCTCAAAAGTCCATTAATCAATACAAAATAGGAGCAGAGCAAACACGGACCTCCAAACATCAGAGGTGGGATCAGGTGCCATGGAGGAGTGAGCATCCCCTGCCGACCGGTCACACCCGCCGTGTGCTCCTTGTCATCATCGGGAAATAACGGAAAAATCCGTCGACAATTCAGTGTGTAAATAATGGCCTAACAATAAGTATGAAAAACGTCAGTCAGCATTTGACTCAATGATACATTGTATTTGCTGACAAGGTCATTGTATCGACCATAGAACTTACGAAATGATGACTTTAAACGAGACAGCTGATATTCTTGTTTCATCAACTTATTTGTCAATAATTTACCTCGTTTTAGAAATTGTACATACGTAGAGCATGCTCTTGCGTATCGAATCAACTGAGAGATATATACCTCGTATGCAGGTGATGAAGGTATATTGCTGCATAAGTAAGGGAAGTTGACGATTGAAAAGTTAAAGTCATCACGTTTATCATAAAGCTTGGTTGTTAGATTACCATTAACGTCTTTTTCAAGTAAAATATCCAAATATGAAACAGATGTGTCAGACTCTGTGGTATCTTTTATCTCAAGTTTACAAGGATATATCGTATCGACATAAGAATGGAAATAGCCATTGTTAATTGACAATACGTCGTCGATATATCTAAATGTCGAGTTGAAGGCCACAGCAAGTGTTTTCTTTTCACGTACAAGATTTTGGACAAATGTAGATAATCAAAAATTCTATAATTCTATTAACTTTGATATTTGTGCAAAGTTTATGCATTTTTGTACATTATTAATTAGAAAGTCGACTTCGAATATGTGAAAAATCAGCAAATTCTAAGATTCTATATGATATATTGTTAGCAGACAGCTAGTCACAATACATATACATTCGCTGAAATTTCCGATTTAATAAGTATGCAATCCATGCGTCATTTTTTAATGACCTATACGTACTCTTAAAATAATCATTTCGTCCTGAGGTTTCAGGCCGAAGTTAGATGATTTGTAAACTTTGTTTTCTATAGCATATAGTTTACTTGTATCGCAAAATTTCCGATAAATTTGCCAAAGAGAATTTACATATAATATTTCAGATCACACCAAAAAAAGGGAGGGGGGTAATTTCAATCTGATTAAAATTTACAAAGGTAGTGAAGTGAGTGAATCTAACATCTAATTTTAATTATAGATTTGATTAATTTAAAATGCAAAAATTATTATATCTTTGTTTACTGGAGTATTATAAAAGTATTAAGAAAAAAAAAAGGCTGAATCGTTTTGCTAAATTGAATTATGATATAAAATCATGCGCCACATTTTCTTTCTTTTACAATTGCAAACAAACGTAGAGACAAATGTAGAGACAATATTTTGCTATCCCGTTCTAAACCTAATCAACACAATTCATACGAAATAGGCATTTCACAATTATTTATTTTCTGATTTGTTTTAATAAAAAAAAAATGGAAATAAGTACTTCTGAATTAGAAATTATTTCTTGTTGGTATACCCCTCCCTCCCCCTCCTTTAGAAAAAAAAATGCGACTTGTATTCAGAAGGAATGATAAGAAATATATAAATGTAAAGAACTTGATTGTTTTGGAGATTATAATTGAAAGTCCTTTTACAAAGCGAAGCCAAATGCATGTGCATTTACACTTACATGCAAAATTTTTCTCAAGATATATTTTAACATTACAGGGAACAATTATTGAATATTTAATAAAAAGAAATAATACAAGTTCAACAAGCTATTCAGATCTATGTTCATTTTCGACAGCCAATTCAAGAAAAAATAAA